AAAAAAAAAAAAAAAAAAAAAAATCAAGGAGTTTCTCATTCAATCATTACATGCTTATATTATGGGCAGTAAAATATTTTAAAAATTTCTTTGTGAAAATGGCATAATTAAGACTTGGCTGAAGCTCTATTTTTGTTGCAAAGGGAACAATTTGCTAAAATAAAATTGTGAAAATCTGTCTTTTAAAAAGTAAGCAAAAAGCTTTCTTAAACACTTCAGTTTTAAAATAAAAGAATATAGCTAGCCACAGTGACTCACACCTGTAATTCCAGAGACTTAGGAGGCTGAGACAGGAGGACCGCTTGTTCCCAGGAGTTTGAGACTACAGTGAGCTATGATAGCTCCACTGTACTCCAGCCTGGGCAATAGAGTGAAACCCTGTCTCTAAAACAATAAAGAGAGTATAGTAAATCCAACAAATAATTCAGATTAAGTTAACTCTTCCTTTTTTTGAGACAGAGTCTCACTCTGTTGCCCAGGCTAGAATGCCTTGGCATCAGCCTAGCTCACAGCAACCTCAAACTGCTGGGCTCAAGCGATCCTCCTGCTTCAGCCTGCCGGGCAGCTGGGACTACAGGCATGTGCCACAATGCCCAGCTAATTTTTTCTATATGTATATTTTAGTTGTCCATGTAATTTGTTTCTATTTTTAGTAGAGACGGTGGTCTCGCTCTTGGTCAGGCTGTTCTCAAACTCCTGAGCTCAAACAATCTTCCTGCCTCTGCCTCCTAGAGTGCTAGGATTACAGGCGTGAGCCACCATGCCCAGCCAACTCTTCTTTTTTGTTTAAGAAGTCCAAGTGGGTTTTCACATGTTTTCATTGTGCAAACCCCTCTGACAATATTTCCCAGAGACTGTGTCCATTGCGTTTAGGCGTGAAGAATAGGTCAATAGGATACTTTGAGAAAGTTATGAAGGATAAAGAATAGTCTGATTTGCCTGGCTGGAGATGCAGGTTATATTAATTTGGGGAGTAGGGCCTTTTCTCTGTACTTTCATCTCCCCAGGTTTTAAAGTAGGCTGGGCTCCTCAAAGAGAACCTTGAACTTGAATATAGACTTTCAAACTTTTTTCTCCCTTTTGTCTTCTGGAGCTGAGTCTTTGGTTTCAGATTTTCTGGATGTGAATCCTGATTTTACCTTTTTCTAGCTGCATACCCAGGATCAAGTTATTTAACCTCTTTTAACCTCAATTTCTTCATTTGTGCAATAGGGGTGGCTGCAGTTCCTAACATAAAGAGTTGTATTGAGGATTAAATGAGAAATGGGATGAGATCATCTTTATCACTCCACTGGGCACAAATAAGTGTTCAATAAATGTTACATGTGGTTATAGTGTATTTCTAGATATAAGGGTTAGTGGATTTCACTACTCAGATCACTGAATACATTTGAGAAGTACTATTTTGGAGTCATTATTATCTAAAGAGAAACAAAAGAATGATGAAGTATAGGCGGATAGACATGCTTGAAGCTCTGACTCAGCTGGGGCAAGGGTAATATATGTAATCTAAACATTTATACCCCCATAATATACTGAAATAAAAAAATTTTTAAAAATAAATTAAAAAAAGAATGGTGAAGCATAAAAATAACCAAATAAAAATAAATTTAGAGCAACTTAATAGTAGATTGCTTTATAATAAGCTTTTCTGCAGCCTCTCAGAGTAAATATAAGTTAATTTTTCCCTCATCTTTTCAAGCAATGAACAGTAAGTTCATAATGTCTATTTTCCATGACTTCTCCATTTAAATCTGACTTGTTAGATCAAAAATGATCATATTAAAAATAACTGATACATTTTTAAAGTTATTTTTCTTAATAACCTTATGTGGAACTTAATCAGTGGTCCAGACTTCTAATCTGCTTCCTAGGATCTGACCAAATAGAGCAGGAAAAAAATCTTAGGCTCTTTCTTGATTAGTCAGAGTCAATCGTGAGATAAATATAGTCACTGTTCCAGTAAAAAGTGAATAAAACCATAAAAGTGAAGTTGTGTGTAATGAGAAGGGAGAATTTTTTAAAATGTAACAGACACCAATAACATTAAAACTCAATAAGCTGTGGTTTCATTCATTCATCACTCTATTTCTGAATGTCATCTATGTGCCAGGCATTATGCTAGGGTTTAGAAATAAAAAATGAAAAGGATCTATTCACAAACATCTGTGTAAGAGATTTCCCAAGTAACTTGCCCAAGGTTATGCCAGATGAGCAAAGCCAGAATTTGAACATAGAGTTCTCTGTCTTCAAAGTCCATGTTTTTCCCACAATGCCAAGTTGCCTATTTTAACAGACACTGTTGGTGCCCTGTCCTGATTCTCTCAGATCCCTTTTTCTGACTCTGTGTGGTCATCAACTAACTTCTGCATGTTGTGCTACTAAATGCTTGTATCACTGACCTGAAAAGATTGCTCTTGGACATTGGACTCTCCTTGCCTGACTACAGAGTAATAAATGCCTGAGAGTTCGCCACACCACATTCCTCCACATAACACTCCACAAACCCTGAGTGACACATAGCCAATGACTAATTGGTGCAGGAGTGCAAAAGCCCAGTTCCTTTTCCACAAGACAAAGCAAACTTTGAGGTGTAACTTATGATCCAGAACTCTCCATAGGATCAGATTGAGACTTCACCTGAAACTGCTTAGCCTCTTCCCATTTTCTATCTTGCTGCCTCCACTCTCTTACTGATTTTACCCTGATTATATTCTTCAACAAATCACTACCACACAAATTTTCTTTCAGGATCTGCTTTTGGAAGACTCTCACTTAACACATTTACATTGTGAGCTTTTTTTGTTTGTTTGCCTGTGAGCTCATCTAGATTTTAATTGCAGGATCATGAGAATATGTTTTTATGAGATTTTAAGATCTCATTATGAATATGGAATCAAAATTAATAATTTTATATGATTATCTGATTATAAAAGATGAGTATAGTTTATTTAGTGACTTTGACCAAATTATTTCATCTATTTGGATATCAGCTTGCTATACAGACTGAATGTTTGTCTCCCTCCTAAAATTCAAATGTGGAAATCCCACCCCCTAATCAGATAGTATCTAGAGGTAGGGCCTTTAGGAGGTGATTAATTCACAAGCATGGAGCCCTCATAAATGGGATTAGTGTTCTTATAACAGAGGCTCCAGAGAGCTCCCTTGCCCCTTCTATGATATAAATACACGGCAAGAGGATGGCCATCTGTGAACCAAAAAGCAGGCCCTCAACAGACACTGAATATGTTGGAGTCTTAATCTTGGACTTACAGTCTCCAGACCTGTGAGAAATACATTTTTGTTGATTATAAGTTACCCAGTTTATCCTATTTTTGTTACAGAAGCTTGACTGGACTAAGGCAAGATTTCCCTTTGAAATATGAGTGTTATTTAATCAAGTAGTCTCTAAGGTCTCATAAGACTCTAAAATTTAGTGAGCTATTAAATTTATCTTAACCTATAATTATGTAAGTTCACCATTTTGATGGAATCTATGCATTTGAGGCAGATAATTTGGAGCTACCCAGTAACTAATCTGTTTATGAGTAGTTTATGGTCAGTTAAGGTGGACTACATCTGCATGGACATATAACCTATGTAATCTAATATTTAATAATTTTTCTGCTTTAGAAGAAATTTTGTTTTTGAAAAATACATATGTATAGCACGGGATAGAAATAACCTAGTATAAGTAAATACAATAGTAAATTATTTAACATAATATAGCATTTGCACATTAAACACAATATGTACCATACCATTTATGACACAAAACATTCATAGGCAGTTGAAACAACAGGCTACATGAACAGTATCCATATTTTGACATTTTATCTTAATCTGAGGAGCCAAGAGAAAGGAATTTAATGTTTTAATTTACTTTTCTTAATAGAGCAGATTTCTAATAGCAATTGTCAAATTATAGGTTTATAAAACAGTGAACACATTAAAATAACTGTGATTAGAAATCTGCTTGCTACATTTGCAGAAAAAGTTTCAATTTCAGCCTTTTGACCTCATGTATCATAGCATGGTCATTGCCAATTTTTAGTGTTTAATATGTTATTAAACATATCATATTAAATAGTATTCAGAATTTTACCCATTTTAAAGTTCCTTTGCTTTAAAATGAGGCAGAGTGTAGAATCAAATACTGGAAAATGAAGAAGAAAACATTAAAAATCTGGGTGACATTAATTTCACCTATTCCTTGAATAATCTCTTTGTTAAAACCTCCAAATATTTAAGAAACAGTGGAACAAAACATAAGTTATGTTATTAATATAGTACATGAGAGTGGATAAAAGAAATAAAATGAAGGCATAAAAAGTGGATTCTGGACTCTCATATTCCACTCTCAGAAAAAAATATAAATGTAAACAGCAAAATAAATCTAAAGGGCTGTAACATAATTTCATGGCAAGATAGATTAGATGATCCAACTATTTTATCCAAAGACAGCATAAAAATAAAATAATAATTTATCAAAGGACAAATGGAAAATCCCTCACTGGACCTTGTGTTGGAGGCATTGGCCATTGGGCATCAGGAGAAGTTTATTATGTTTTGTTTATGCTTCACAATATAATACTGGGTATTTCATCACTATGATCAATAAAGCTTTGTGAACTAACTTTGCAGAGTAAGAAATGTAAATGCAGAGGCAAGTCTATAATAAACAGAAAAGTACAGTATAGCAGTACTCAACCTTTTCCTTTATTTGTTCCTCACATTTCTCATGACCCATGGAAAGAATGGTCTGTTAGCTCTTATAAACAGCACCTAGCACATGAATCATATATTTCAACACTCTTGCCATTCATAAAAATATTTGAAGAACAATATACATTAGAGTTTTAATTATAGAAGTAACTATCTACTATGGTTTGGATATTTGACCCCTCCAAGCTTCAT